GGGGTGGCGTTCAGAGGTCCTACCTGTACATGGAGGGTGCGGTTATGGGTAATATCAGCACATCTGATGGTCAGAGAGGGATGAACGGTGTTTTTTTTTTTGCATTCACCCCCCCCCCCCCCCCTCCTGGTATCTGGGGCAACTGCATGAAGTATTCTCTGTGAAAATACAACGTCTTGCCTGTTTTTGTGCAGTCCTATGCAGCAGCAGCGGGTCTCAGTTTTGTAACACTGGCAGTGTAGAGGGGGAGAGGAGCTGGAGAGACCTGAGGTAAAAGGTTTGGTAATGTGCAGCAGTGGCTTGCTCTGCCTTATATTTCCCTGCACAGCGTATGTGGATTGGGGGGGGGGGTTGTTGCATGTAGGTCTACAATGCAGCCAAGAATAGAAAAATGAACTTAGTCAGCGTTGAGTGCAATGTCAAACTGGCTCTAACCTCTGTTGGAAAAGAAACCTTCAGTCATTTCCCACTTTTAAGTCCCTGTTTCGTGTCTGTTCAGACAGATAGGGGCTTGAGTGAGGGAAAACGTGACTCATTCAGATTTTTTGTCAGGGGACTCAGAAGTCAGAAATTGGGAGTTTATGCAAATCTCTTGTACACACATAACTAGACTCCCTTGAAGTGCTTTGGGAAAGAGTGTGTGACATGCTGATCCAGCCCCCCCCCCAGCAGCTCTGAATAAATCATGTTATACAACTACACGCTCTGTTCTTCTTTGCTCTCACCTTTTCCCCATGCACTTCATAAACACTTCATTGGCCTACATTGTTGTCCTCTGAGATACCAGAATGTATTATTGCCTCCTCTGTAGGTGTAATAACTCTAACTCGACAAAACATGGCTGGTTGGAGCCGGGCGGTTACATTAGATCCTGTGTGTTGAAAAATGTTTCGCTGCCACAGCGGGTTTAGTCACTTTACAGCTGGAAGTGAGCAACATTTTCCTTCCTAGTTCCAGTGATTCAACTCTGCACGCTGCACTACGTCACTGTTGTGGCTCAGTAATCTGCACTTTTCATTCCTTCTCATCTCTTCTGTTGATTTGTCCCAAGCTTCCAGTTTCGTCTTCTTTCATGACACAGCAGCCCCGGGGCTCGTAGCTTTGAGTTCAAAGTCTGCAGTTTTGCACCTCTGTCCTTTTACTCTATTGATCACCGGTGATTGATGACAGCTTTGTGTATGTTTGTATCTGTGTGTGTGTGTGTGTGTGTGTTTACCCCTTCAGTGAGTTGAAAAACTCAGGAGCCATGGAGTTGAGGGTGGGGAACAAGTACCGCCTTGGGAGGAAGATAGGGAGCGGATCCTTTGGAGATATTTACCTCGGTGAGAATTTGGACTGTATTAACCTGACACTGAAGCAGTGGATATCACATATTTTTGTGATCTGTGTTAAATTTCACAGGTCAAAAGACCTTTTTAATGTTTGGGAAATTATTGATATGTTGTAAGTACATCTCTGGTATTTCTCCCATCAGGTTCTAACATCGCTACAGGAGAGGAAGTAGCCATCAAACTGGAATGTGTGAAGACCAAACATCCACAGCTCCACATTGAGAGCAAATTCTACAAGATGATGCAGGGTGGCGGTAAGATGCACCAAGAAGTGTTTCAGGGTTTTGGAAAGCTTTACTAGAGGGCACCGAAAGGCAGTGAAGAGTTTAAGGGGCACTAACAGGTATTTATTGCTTCTGAGGGTATAAACCATGTTACAGTTGTTTCAGAGGCATTGCAGTCCATTTAGAGACCTTTCAGGACATTAAAGGGCAATTGCGGTGCTTTCAGGGACACCAAAAGGCAACTTTTGCTGGAATTAAAGAGCATTTAAGCTTTTTCAGTGTAGGGTTGTTGAGACGTGAATAGTCATTCAGGAGCACTCAGGAGTAGTCATGGATGTTGAGAGGCGATGATGGGTGTGGAAGCCTTGCATGTTAGTAATGGTATTAACAAATATAAGAGGGTGTACAGCAGCCCAGAGAACGGCTAGGAGGTTAAAAAAGAGAACAATTTGAAAGAAAAGAAAGAAATAAGATTACATTTATAAGCTATATTCATTACAATACAACTATCTTATTATCTATACTACCTATACTATTACACTAGTTTCTCACCCCTGTGCTACTGTTCATTATTCTGTTTCCTAACCCTGTGATTCCCTCTCCTCCCCTCCCAACAGTGGGAATCCCGTCTATTAAGTGGTGCGGCGCGGAAGGCGACTATAACGTTATGGTAATGGAGCTGCTGGGCCCCAGTCTGGAGGACCTGTTCAACTTCTGCTCCCGCAAATTCAGTCTGAAAACAGTCCTGCTGCTGGCCGACCAGATGGTGAGACAGACTCCGGTCAACGCTGTAAAACATAATAGTTCATCAGGGGTTTTTTTTTTCTGAGATCCAGAGCCAATAATTACCACACTTGTTTAAGAACCCTCTTGTGTTTAATAAAGGCACCATCAGGGTCTTTATAAAGAGGTTTCTCAGTGACAAACAAAGATAGCTATAAATAATGGAAAGGTACACAGGGAATTATGCAATCCCATTCATATTTAAAAAAAAACTACAGTTGTCTAAACTTGCACTGAAGTCAACCTCAGGCTGGGAAGTTACACAGATTTCAATAAATGGATGTGGCTATTTTTAGACTGGAACTAAATGGATCATTTGAAATCTGAGAATAATTCTCATCTAAACCTCTGAAGCTTGTTTCCTGGCTCGAGACAAAGCTTATCCCCTCACTATCTTCCACCATTCAGCTCCTCCATAAAAGTCAATTCCAATCTAGGACATGGAAGCTACAGCAAGAAGGCCTAATCCTTGTCGCAGGGGTCAGCCTGTGGTGTCTTTTATAAGCCTCTTTAATCTCTTTTATGTCATTCTTCAGTCTACAACCGGTTCATTTGTTCTTTTTCTCCCATTTTCTCTTGGCCACTTTGACCTCTTTTCCTAATCGTTCTTTCTGCTGTCGTTGCAACATCTCTCCTCTCCTCTCCTTCTCTCTCCTTTAAAAAGGCAGTAACTAAGATTTTAACTGTCCCATAACGTAAAATGACCTCTATATATCTGCAGACGAGCTGATGGATCATTACCAGTGACTTAACTATTATTTCACTGGGCAATGAGACTCACTTAAAAACTCACTTTTAGTTTTAGACCAAACGCTCTATAACTATGGGAGCATAAAGGCCTCCAGCGACTCTACTAATCAAGACCAGTAAAGGTAACTAATTATCTGAAAAGTAATAGCTGTTTGTCTGACGCTCAGATCAAAGTACTCACTAATCTGGAAACCTGAGGAAGGATAGATTCCACATTTTCAAACAACAAAACAGATCAGTCAATTTTTCAATGTTATTCCCCACTGGGTGTTTTTTAAATGCATTTGACCACCACCCGGTATGTTTTGGAGTGATACAGAAATGATCAATCCTGTATCAAATAGATGATTTAACAGACCATACCCCACAGTTGTGTTAGATTCAATGAGTTCTCTGCTTTGCAGGCAGCCACTGACTTTATTAAATGCACTATGAAAATGATCTTGCCGATATATGCAACTTGTGTGAGGAAGGTCATCTGTCACTGTAAAATTTCAGTGCTTTCCATTTTGTCTCAAAACTTTGTGACTGTAGTTTTGTTTTGCAGTTGTGCGCACAGACTATTTTGGTGGTGCATTCAAGGACACTATGACACTTGAGTTATTATAGTTGCCTGCTTAAGGGCAATATTTTAAAATGCAAGAAACATCAACAACACACATACAGTATGATCCTTCTTACAGTGTCAATCTGTGGGTTTTTAGGCTTTATACTCTTGAATCTTGGATGTCAGAGCATCTTCTGTTTTTAGGTTTGTAAAACAGCTCCTGATGGCAACATGCAATATTACATGAGGATGTTACTATGTAACTGTGGCAAAAGATAAAAAGGATGCTCAACTGATTTTACATATGAAGATCAGTGGACTCTACACCAAGCCTACGTTAGGAACTTGACGTGAGACAAGGAGGGTCTAACAAAAGAGTTGAGATGCATTATGGGAATTGTAGGATCCAGTGCTTTTGGAGCTTAAGTCATACTCAGGACCAAAAGTCAGTACATACAACCTCATTGGCTGCAGTTGAAATTAGCCAGCTGACTTAGACTGGCACATTTACAGAAATGTTGATTAATGTGTGTTGTCCTTAATACAATTAAACTTAAAAACTCATAGCATGAATGTATTGTTAATGGGCTACAACATGCAAGACCACTAATACTCTCTTTTAATCCCAAATAAATGGTGTTCCCCATCTCTCCGTTCCAGATCAGCAGGATTGAATACATCCACTCCAAGAACTTCATCCACAGAGACGTGAAGCCAGACAACTTCCTGATGGGGCTCGGCAAAAAGGGCAACCTGGTCTACATCATCGACTTTGGCCTGGCCAAGAAATACCGTGACGCCCGAACGCACCAGCACATCCCCTACCGTGAGAATAAGAACCTCACCGGCACCGCCCGCTACGCCTCCATCAACACCCATCTGGGCATCGGTAAGACAGCATACACACAGAGGTTGGCCTACATATCTGTGTAGGTGTGAATGTGTGTGTGTTCATCTAACCCTGCTGTGGTTTATGTGTCTGTTCCCAGCAGAATGTCAGCAGAATATGTTGCAATATGCATGTTTATTGATCTGGACTGGATTCTCAGGACTGCAGTCCCCTCTTTCCTTGTGTGTCCTTTCCTTTCCTTTCCTTTCCTTTCCTTCTCCTTTTCTTCTTCTCCCCCCTTAAACTCTTTGTCTCCGTTCTGTGTTGTCCCCCACAGAACAGTCGAGGCGAGACGACTTGGAGTCTCTGGGCTATGTGCTCATGTACTTCAACCTGGGCTCTCTGCCCTGGCAGGGGCTCAAGGCTGCCACCAAGAGGCAGAAGTATGAACGCATCAGTGAGAAGAAAATGTCCACCCCCATCGAGGTGCTCTGCAAGGGATACCCCTGTGAGTAAAGAAACAAGAAGTGATAACAGGAGAAAGGCCCATTTAAAGAGGGCTTTTATAATATTTCAGTTAGGTCTGTACCCAACCAAGTCGAATCAGATTTGACTGTTCAATACAAAGATTTGACTATTTGTGCCTCCTAACCCCTACATCAGCAGTTCCTGTGGTGGAAACGTGGCTATTAGCCTACCTCACATTGTAACGCTTTTATTTGTCACCTGTGATGTGAAAACATCAGATTTCCACACAGTCACAGAAATTTAAAGTGTGCGTCCTGCCGGGCTGTTGACAGCGCCGTCAGCCAAAGAATCAATCACAGCAGACGGCAGTAGAGGAGGTTGTACCGCCGATTGGTTCAAAGGTGGTTTAGCCAACTTCACTGACAGTCAGCACCAAAGCACAGAGCGTCACAGCAGCCAGTCAGGTGTCACACTGCACTCCATTAACTATCACTCTTCTCCACCTCCTTCACACTTTGCGAGTTGCTGTCATTTTGGGACTCGGTTTGTAAAGTTTATAGCTGCTATGCTGATGCTCTGTGCACAGTGACGCAGCTAAAAACCAAAAGTGCAGAGATTCGACTGACAAACTGCGAGTCGACTCGGGGCCTTCTCAACTGATGACTCGTTTTTGAGGGCAGCCATAATTTCAGTCACATTTTTTTACTCAAAAGGCTCGACACCTCCCTCTGTCTTTGCTCTGAACCCGCTTCTCTTTTCTCTCTTGTGTTTCCCAGCTGAGTTCTCTACCTACCTGAATTTGTGTCGCTCACTGCGGTTCGATGACAAGCCAGACTACTCATATCTGAGGCAGCTCTTCAGGAACCTTTTCCACAGACAAGGCTTCTCCTATGACTACGTCTTTGACTGGAACATGCTGAAGTTTGTGAGTGGCTCGTCTAGAATTGCTACCTGTCATGCTCTCTTACAGTTATAGTCAGCAGAACACCGTGAGCGACACACTTTTGCAAACTAGCTCCAGCCTGGAGGTTCAAAAACCTTTTTCATTATATTCTTGACCTTTTCCTCCAGCATACGTTCATACATCTGCACTGTTCCTCTGTGTTTCAGGGGGCCAGCAGGACAGCGGAGGACGGCGAGAGGGAGAGGAGGGATGGAAAAGAGGGTGAAGAGCGGGCGGGAGGAGGACAAAGAGGAGCCGGAGGCCGAGCTTTGCCGCCAGGTCCGAACCCTTCAGCCGCCAACAGAGTCAGGAACGAGGCAGATGCTGCTCCATCGAACCCAGCCACGCGCGGGGTCCAGCAGTCAGGTCGGGATGTTGTTTGTGACTTTAGGATGTTTAGGAAGTAACTGTGGGATCCAGCTGTAACACGCATGTTTGTGTGCGCGCAGGTAACCGCTCTCCTCAGGCAGGGAGGGCAGAGCGAGCCGAGCGAGAGAGGAAGGTGGCCATGAGGCTTCATCGCGGGGCCCCGGCCAACGTCTCCTCCTCTGACCTCACTGCGCGCCTCGACCAATCACGCATCACTGCATCGCAGGTAGGAAGACTGTGGCTTTTTGTGGGACTTTGTTGTGATGTGATGTTTTATGCACATCAGTTGCTCTGAGGGTGTTCTTGGCTTATTAGTAAATATATTACATTTTCTGTAGCGCCATCAGCAGGTCAAAGTTTTCACTTATCCTGTGAAATACCTTAACATCTACAGAATTCAAAGCTCCCAGCAGTGACTCTTTGTCTTGTTATTTTAGAATTTAACTCGACCATAAATAAACTGCAGAAGATATTGCTCTCTTTTCTTATGTAGCATTAATTGCTTCATTGTGAATAAAATGGATCAGACGGATTCTCATTACCTTGGACTGCTGACATTGGATTCTTAGCTATGCTTGCCACTCATGTTGATACAAATTCATAATTCATAATGCCAACTTGGAAATATTGAAGCACAGAAAACATTCAAACATAATCTACTCATAATTACCTAAGAAAATTGATGTGAAGAGTTTTTGTTGCTGTGCAGTTTAAGTCTGACATGATATAAACACAGAATGGACTAATCCACTAAGGCAGCCTCCTTATGTCCCAAAGCTTCTTTGGAGTTTGTAATTGGACTCTCTCAAGTGCTTCTTCATTTATTAGGGATCATGTCTGCATCCTGCAATAATGACAGCAGCCATTCTAAATATCCAGACTGATTGCACTGTGGTTTTAAATCATTATTTAAAGAATCTCACATACACTATAATCATTTGGTGGAGCATATTCAAATAGATACAATCTCAATTGAAACTGTACAGGCTGAATGTTAATAAATTAACTATAATGTAGACAAAACCAGAACATTTGAATATTATCCTTTTATTGACAGTTCAGTAGCCACTGATTTAACTGATTTTGACTTTGTGTTGGTTGTGTTCGGCCTGCTCCTCCTGGTCTAGGAGTGTGCTTCTGTTACTTTGTGGGTGGACCTGTCATCTGAATTGTTTTATATGCTAGCAGCAACCCCTGTGAAACTGCTAACAGATCTCAAATTGCCATTTTGTGACCAGAGTTATTACAGTTTTGTATTTTTCATTCACTTTTATTTTTATTTCGTTTTTTTAAGATTTGTTTTTAATTCAGTTTGGCTTCAGTTAGTTTCCAGAGTGAGTTTGCTTGTTTCAGTTTAGTTTTTATTCTTTAAAAGTGTTTATTTTTAGTTTGACCAAATTGATAAAGACTCAATCTAAAGGCATTTCCTGTATATTTTTATTGTAGTTTAGTTAGTTTTATAAGTATACAATATTGTTTCAGTTGTTTTTTTTCTCAAGTCTAGTTTTTATGTTAATTTAGTTAACTAAATTGTTTTTTCACAACAAGTATTAGTTTGTTTTAGTTTTTAGTTTTGTTGTAGTTGATTCCGAGCAAATAGTCCAAAGAATTGGAGGTAAATCAACAACTGAGAAAGCATACAGCGTCTGGTCTTGGAATTGAATAGAATTTTTTAAAATACAGTTCTTCAGGTCTCTGTCTTCTCCCTTTGATCTGCTTCAAGCTTCTCATCTTTCCCTCCACTCTCAGGTCAGTGTGCCGTTTGAACATCTGGCAAAGTGAGTTCCTCCTGGCTGGCCTGCAGGTCAGTGGCAGGTATGGACATGACACACACACACACACACACACACACACACAGCATGCTTGAACAACTATCAATGTCTTTTGTCCTTGATGACCCCTGAACCCCCCACCCTTTATATTCTAGTAGAGAAAGAAATTGCTGATATTCAGCTAAAATTGTAATCTGCAGTAATTCAAAGCAACAGGGATTAATATAAAATAATACATATTATTGGTTAAATCAGGAGTGAAGTTCTGCTCATATAACCAGACTTGAGGTGTTTAACATTTAATTAAGTCAAGTAAAAAGTGGAAATGAGGAACAACATTTAACATTTGCTCTAATTGTTTTAATTGTTGATAAAAAAAAATTTACAAGTTGACATTTTTTCCAATAAAATGAATTTAGCTTTTCTTCTTTCTCTTGAAACCTAAAGCAATTCAGCCACAATTTTTTTTATTGCATAATAAGTGAGTTTGTTACCATAAAACATTAAAAACTAGTTGGCAATAATTTGATTAAGCCATTCTGAAAAAATAAAAAAGTTTAAACATTATTGACCAAATCGACTGGAAAAAGGTATTTAAGGTCAGATGATTATGTCAGTAAAGAATTTCCATTTTATAATTAGCTGTAGTTAAAGGATAAGTTAAGTGATACTATGCTGATAAATTAACAATGATCCCACTAACAAGTATTGTCCGTATATCTAAAGCCTGATATATGTTATTCCTTTGTGCTGTAGAGCTCCATTGTGACATCTTGCACTGGGACCATGAACACAGTAGTTTATTTTGAGTCAACCCCACA